GGTCGCGCCCAGCGCAAGAGGCCCCGCCCCCGACGTGCGCTTCTGCGTGGGCACGGCCCAGTCCGCTTGCGCCCGGGAGCCCAATGCCAGATCCTGCCAGGGGGACTGAAAGAGTGCAGATGGCACAGTCTTCTCCGGTGAGCACCGCCAGGGTGGCTGGCACCACCAGTATATCCAGGACGAGGAGGGAGGCTTGTAGTGGATAGCCACACCTGTCCATGTCCTTCCAACCGACTGGGCATCCGCACTGCTCGGCCACTGGATGGCGGTGTGAGAGTGTCACCAGGCGGCCTGCCGCGCGGAGCAGGTCCTCGGCGCGAGCGTGCAGCGCGCGGAAGTCCTTGGCATCCAGTCCGTGGCTGTCCCGGACGGGAAGGCGGGCCTTGTTCCAGAGATCACAGAACGCAAGGACGGCTCCCCGTGCCTCCCCTGCAGGGCCAGGTCTGCCACGCGGGCATAGCAGGGCCCCGGTTTCGCGGTCCGCGCCCCAGGAGGAGCCGAGTGGCGTCTTGCCGGGCCCCAGCGGATTGGCACGTGGCTCTTCCCACCCAGCGGCCCGTTTGCCCAAGATGGCCTTGAGGTGTTCTGCGTTCGGCTGCCCAGTGCGCCGCTGACGTCGGCAGATGCTGGGGCTCCAGCAGGCTGGGGGCTGCTGCGGGGTGCCAGAAGGGACGGGGTCCTCCTTCCGCCACCACCTGCGCGAAGCTCCTGGTCGCGTGCGCTCGGGCGCTCGGGGGAGAGCTGGTCCTCCCGTGTGTCCTTCCTCCTGGTTGTCTGGTGGCTGCAGGCAGGCCAGGTGCAGCAGTGCAGCCCAGGTGGCTGCGTGTACGCTGTTCGGGATCCAGGCCGAGCTCAAGGCCGTGCAGGAACCTGTCGTGACTGAGGAGCTCTCTGCAGTGCTCCGCCAGGTCCTGGGCACGTCGCCGGGGGCCGTGCGTGCGTGGGTGGAGGCTCATGACATAGAAGAGCACAGGAGGGAACCCTGGGTCCAGCAGTAGCCTGGTCCCGGCGGTCTTGAGGCTTCCTGCCAGGCGATGCCAACTGGTGGTCGTCTGACAGCGGAGAGTCAACCAGAGTAGAGAAGCCGAGCTGCTGCTAGCCCCGTATCTTGGCAAGTTTGTTGTCCCCTGGCTCTCGGCTCCGCGTCCGCAGCCATCTTGGCCTTCTCTTGTGGTGTTGCCGCGTCTGTGACGGAGTCCCCTGACAGCGTGGCTGGTCGGAACTCGAAGTCTTCCTGGAGTCGTTGCCGGGTGCCTGCCTGCCCAGGGCCTGAGAGATGTAAGCATCCATATTGCGGCTTCAGCTCCACATGCTGCGAGGGTGTGGAGATGGGGCTCGTTGGCTGTGCTGAACATCTTGCCATTGCCAACGACGGCTTCTCCTGCCTTCGCCCGGGTGCACGCGACGGTGAGCCGATGTCGGTCGTCAATCAATGAAGCCCCGGGCGTGGCTGCTGTTGGCCCGAGTGTTTGCAATTATGACCAGGTCGGCTTCGTCGCCTTGGCTCGAGTCAATGGTGTTGATCTCGATGAGGCCCTGCTGGATGAGCCTGGGGCACCGCTTCTCCAGTCCCAAGAATGACAAGCCAAAGCCGTTCGTCTGCGTGGCGGCCAGCCTAAAAAACGTCTACACAGCAGCTCTGGCGGCACCTCTGCTCGACTGTCTTGGGATCGGCGTGAGTATCAGAATCTTCTGCTGCGCCTTACCCAGGTCTTCCTCGCATGCAGCCGCCAGGTCACAGATCGTCGTCGCCTCCGTTATGTTGGCATTTCCGTCGGCCATGGCAGCGGTGCCTTCGTGCGAGTCAGCGTGAACCAGCAGCGCGCGGATGCGGTCGCCCTCCTGAGCGCCGCGCGCGGGGTTCCGAAAGCGAAGGCATGGAGGAATGTTGTGGCCGTGCGCGGTGCCTTCCTTGACCGAGGCCTCGTCAGTACCTCAGACAACGGATGGGCACGTCTCCAGGAGGGGCCCTTCACGAGGCAACGCTCTGAGACGGGGTCTCCCAGTCCTGTCACTAGTTTGCCCCCGTGCAAACACTGGGAAGCCCACTGGGGGATGCTCGGGCGCAAACGATAGCATCTGTCCTAGAGAACGTTGTGGTTGGCGCTTGGGCCGATGGAGTCCTGGAGCCGTTCCATTAATTACCGAGATGGCGATGCCCGTGGCAGCTGCTCGCTCGGACACCATGGTAGGGCATAACTGCGCTACATCCCCAACTACCAGAACGCGCCCGCCCGACCAGGCGAGGAGCATCAGGGAGATCATGGCCAGGGCCTCAGTAGACTGTCCAGCTTCGTCCAGGATTCACAACATGATGTTCGGACTGTCTTCGGTGTCCAGATCGGCGGCGAACTCGTGCGTGGCCAAGACCAGCCTGGTGTTGTTCAGAAGGTTCCGTTTGTACCCGTTGAAGGTTTTGGTGCCGTAGCCAGGTTCAAGCGGGCGTTATCCTAGGTCGATTTCCCTGGCCATGCGAGCGGCGGTCTCTGGGAATCTGGTAGCTGCGCCCAGGCGTCGGGCATCGTTCGCCGCGGTCAAGTGTTGAGCGGGCATGTCCGTTGCTTTGTTGGCCCCTGCAAAGAGCCCGATTGCCCACCCTGCGGGGTCACAGTGCGCCCACATTCCCAGCACTGCGGCGATCGTTTTGGTCTTGCCCGCATCAGGGGGCCCGTGTACCAGGAGAGCCATGGATTTAATGACTGCGTAAGGACCAGGGCTTGCGCTACGTTGAGCTGGTGCCTCATGGCCACGTCGTTGGCCCTGGTGCGTGCAGGGGCTGGTAGTGTCCTTTGGAAGACGTGCCCTGGGCAAGCTTCGACTTCCTCATGACTGGGCACGGGTCCGCTGGGGCTGGGGATGGGCGCCTGTAGGTCGTCTTGGTCAGGTATCTCCTCTGCCAGGGCGACGGCTGCCTGCTGCCTCAATGCTGCCCCTGCCGCCGCCATGTGTGCCGCAGAATCGGAAACCTTCTTATTCTCCACTTCGTGCGAGCGGAGTGCCAGGGCGTAGGTGATAACCAGGAGTTCGGTGCCCCAGAGGGCCCCCGGATCAGCCTGTAGCAGTAAGACATCCTGGATGGCCGTCCACACACGGTTCATCTGCAGCTGCGGCGGGGCGGGGTCGATGCAGTACTTGTGGTCGTCGGGCCTTTTAGGCCTAGTGGCGGTCGTGTTTTCAGGATTGAAGGCGCCCCACTTGGAGTCGAATCTTGCGATCATGGTCTTGGCCGGGTATCGCCTGCGCGCGTGGCGCCCTTTATATTTGCTGGTGGTAGTCGTGGAAGCACCGAGCATAGGCGGCCAGTCGACCTTCATGTCGGCAACGTGGAATGTGACCAGGGACCTATATGTGACACGTAGGTGGGGGCTCAGCCTTCCTGCTCCTTGGGCCCCTCGACGGTGAAAGCGTCATGCCAGGAGATGATGTAGCATCCGTTTGTGTCCCGCTTGTGTTGCGCCAAGGCCTGCGCGAGCCTGTAGTCGTACTTGTGGACGCTGGCATCGATGGCGCAGGTGCGCCGCTGACGGAGCGTCTCCCTGGTGCCGGCGTCCCTGTCGTCGGTCGACTACAGGCGGGCACGTTGCTCAGTCATGGATACCTGCAGCAGTTCTTTCCGTTTTCCCTGCGAGATCTCGGGCCAGCAGTAAGGTAGCAGGACGGCTCCAGGGATGTGCCCGGTGGAACGTCGAGCTGCACATCCGCACATGGCTTGCCATGGTTTCCTGAAGAGCTGACGGACGAATTTGGCTGCGGCAGCGGCTGGCCTGTCACTGCTGAAGCCGTCGTCGTCCAGGGGTCCCTCGTCGGCCTGCGGGTCTGCCCGCCCGGTTCCAGCACTGCTGCCCGCGCGATCCGTCCCGGGAGCCCCGCGGGGCGCCTCCGGGGGTGGTTCGGCGGCGGGTGGGCGGCGCTGGCTGCGCTGCCTGTGCCGGAGGCGGTAGGAGGTGCGTCTGGGTGTTCGACTCTGGCCAAGGCTTCCCGGGTTTCGACAGCAGATCTAGCACCACCCCAAGCGCCTGTCGACTCGTCGAAGACCTGCCAGGAGGGTCGCGCGTTGTTGACGTCCGCCTTGCAGTCCAGGGGCGGAACCCTGTCGGCAGGTGCTCCAGCGGGTGTGAGGCAAGTGGGGGCTGCGTCCCAGTCGTTGTCGTCGTAATCCCAGCCGTCGTGTAGCATCCCGCCTTCGATCCTGAGCGGGGTGACTATCATCCATCCAGGGAAATGAAGCCTGGGGATGTCAGGTGTGAGCCTGCCCCCCGTGGTAGTCCACAGTCCACAGGTTGCCACGTTGCTGCCAGACCTTGGGTTCGGACAGTCCGTGGCTGGCTTGCTGCTCGACCCGATTCCGATGGTCATGTCCCGTGAAGTGAGCCTTTTCTTGGACCACCTTCGGGCACATCGCGCAGTACCACCCCCAGAACGAATCGAACATGGCTCAGCGGCGCATTCAGGGTGCCGTCCAGCACTGGAACTTGGGTTGGGTCTGCCATTCGGGCCAGGCTGCGGTCCGTCTGGGCTGCACTTATGGCACGTGAGCCAGCGGCAGGTGGGCCCCTTGGCTGTTGGGGGCATGGCTGGGCTGCACGGGCCAGGTTACCAGGTTGTCCAGGAGCGGCAAACAGCCGCACGAACAGGTGGGAAAGCTGCGCGGGGCGTAGGGTAGCCTTGGCGGTCGTGCGGACCACGATCGATCGGCCGGGGCTGGTGGCAGGGGAGCCAGAGCAAGCGGGCCGCGGCACTGAGGGGGGGGGGGCGCATGCCAGAAGGAGGTTCGCTCCTTAGTCACTTGGCTGCCTGTCTATTGTTTCATTCCAGAGTCTCCACAAACGCGCCGCTGTCGGCGCCGGCGTCCTCGCCCTCGTGGCCCTGGTCGTCCTCGTCTTCGTCGTCCTCGTCCTCGTCGCCCTTGTTCTCATCGCCCTCGTCGTCGTCGACTTCGCCGTCCTCGTCGTCGTCGACGCCGCCCTCGTCGTCGTCGCCGCTTCCACCCCGCAGGGCGCATGCGGCCCGCCCGGTGCGCCGCGCCCGAAGTGGCCGCCAGAGCGGAGCCCTGCGCGCCCTCTGGCCCCGACATGATGGGGGAAAGGGCGCGGAGGGGTGAAGAGCGAGGAGGGAGGGGGGTCCCCCTCCCCTTGTTCTCATCCCCATCCTCCTCCTCCCCCCTCCCCCTCCACGGCTGCTCAATATGAATGTAACGCTCTCCTCTCTCTCCCCCGCAGATGCCCAGGGAGGCGCCCGCCCCCCTCCGCAAATCGTCGGCCTCATTCTAGGATTGGCGCCTTGCTTCCATTGCTCACACTGGCGATCCCCCCCCAGAGCGGCCCACTTATCCGGATCCGAGTGCTTCATTATCGTTGTCGCCACGCTCCTTTCTCCTCTCCCGCCTTTCCCTGGTCATCCTGGTCATCCCTGGTCATCCCGCTTCTCCCACTTCCGCGCGTGCTGTTGTTCCTCCTCGTTCTTCTTCCCCGTAGCCATTTTGGCTCAAGAGCTTTTCGGCACCTTGAGCGGGCAGCCCCTCCTGCGGGCATTTCCAGCAGTCAAAGGCTGGCGGACACCTCCCTGCAGTCTCTCGGCCGTCTGCCATGGCCGATGGCGCCGACTCGCTCCACGTCCTCTCGTCCCAGGGCTCCGCCATCGCCGCAGCCATGGAGGAGATGCCCACCTTCCCCGACCCTGATGACTCCCCGCCGTCATCTGGCAAGGGCAAGGGCGCTGGCGCCCGCTGTGGCGCACGCAAGCGCCATGCTAGTGCTGCTCGCGACAGTGCTGCACCTGACGACGAGCATGAGGAGCTCTACTCAGATGACACATTCGCCAACTGTGCTGCGAGGAATTTGCCTCAATGCGCGCCACCATCACGGAAGAGGTCAGCGCCACCGTCGCCAAGACAGTCGGCACGAACCATTCCACCCTCATGTCCATGTTGTCCAAGATGCAGGATGAGGTCGCGAAGCAGTCCTCCTCCATCCAGCAGCAGGTTCAGTCCGCCGTCGAGCCCTGCATCGATGGCCTCACCAGGCGTCTTCAGAAGCAGTTGGACGACCACACCGCCCGCATCGCCGCCACGTCGGAGCGTGTCGACCGCCATGACGAAGCAAGTTGCTGAGCTTCGTCGTCAACTCGCATTGGCGTCCGATGCCCTTCGCACCCTGCCGCCGCCGCCTGACTCCTTCGACCGTGCGCCCAACACCACCATCATGGTTGCGGTCTCCCAGAAGCCCACCACCCTCGCCAGCGTCGACGCCGTGGTTCGGCCCTGGCTCGCCACCGTCGGGTTCAACGCTGGCGACTTCTCCCTCATCCAGAAGGGCGAGACGCCTGCTCGCCGCTTCGAGATCCACTTCTCTGGCCCTACGGCCGCTGCTGCTCGCAAGGTGGCGTTTGCGGTCTTCAAGATTAGGGACGCGAGCGGCTGGCGAGAGTTTTGGGTGGAGCTTCCTGGCTCGGACAAATACCGTCTCCACATGGGCCCTGACAAGTCCCCCAATCAGATCAAGCTCGAGATCACGCCCCGCAGGGTCAGGCAGATTGTGGACACCAAGTTCCCTGGCAAGCGCCTCATCTCGGATCGCGAGCGTGACGTGCTGTTCATCGGCTGGGACCGCGTGCTCCAGGTCGAGGTCGCCCATGGCGGCACTCCTCCCAATATCTACTTTGACATCCAGCAGCTTTTCATGCACCAGATCGAGGTCGCTGTCTTGCGGGGCGCTCTTAAGGAGCTCACGCACCCAGTCGATCCCAGCCAGTGGTCTCTTTAGTGCTGGTTTGCTATTTCGCCTTCCTCGGCCTCCTGATGGTTCGGACGGCCACGTGCTCCGCCTCGCCACGTGGAACACTCGGGCTCTCCTCCAGGCGGGCGGCGACAAGGCTCTCCTGAAGCGCAAGTACTCGTTGCGCCGCAAGCCGACGGATACCATTTTGGAGCTCCAAGAGGTGCATCAGGATCATCATCAACTCGTCGCCTTCCTTGGCACGGTCGCGAAGGGCCTGACCGTGTGCTCCAGCTTCTGCAACGACCCCCCGTGTGCCCACACTCGTGGCGGTGTTGCCGTGGTTCTCCCTCCTCCCGCTGAGCGTGCGGGTTCGCCACCGATTGTGTCCACGTCAGAACTCATTCCTGGGCGAGCCCTGCGAGTCACCGAACGAGACGCTCACCGAATCCCCGACATCCTCAACAGCCACAAGCACGATCTTCGGCCTGAGCAAATTCGTGGCATTGTCTCGGCTATCCGCTCTCCTCGTTCTGCTGCCGCCGAGTCCCCCGACATGTGCACCACCTTAGTCTGCGGGGACTCCAATTTTGCGCCCCACGAGGCCCTAGTGCCATCCCAGCCGGTGGCTGCCGCCCGCCGAGCGGGACGTGCACATCATGCACAGGCGCCGAAGTGGCGTGATGGGCTCTCTCTTGTCACTGAGATTGAATGCGATGACCCAACTCATTATGAGAACACCACAACGTCTGCTCGTCCATCGATCGTGTCTTCTGCTCTCTTTCGGGGTGGCAACTTTGTCAGATGCATGTCCAGATCGGCACCCATCGACTCTCCCGCCTCCGTATTCGACCGCAAGATCTCAGACCACGCCGCTGTTCTGGCATCCTTTGCCACTAGGCGCGCTAAGCCCCTGGGGTCTCGGCCAATGCCCAAGCGCATATTCCATGATCCTGCCTTTCGCCGTCGGCTCGAAGGGCTGCGTCGCCCTGTGTCCTGGGATCATATGTCGCCGCCTGTGAAGCTTGAGAAGTATATGTCCCTCATGAAGATTGCCGCTGCCGAGACCAGGGTCACCCTCTTTCGGGACAGGCCGCATCACCCCCGCACCCTATTGCAGCTGGCGCGCTCTCTCGCTCGAGCGGTCTGGCGCCAGGACTTCCCCCTTGCTTCCGCGCTCATCGTCTCCCACCCCCTTGCCGCCGACCAGATTGCGATGTCGAGCGGGGCCGCTGAGCTCCGCCATCCGCCGGTTTTCCAGCAGTGGGCCGACCAGGCCCTGATCGATGCGTCCGAGGCTGCCAAGTCTGAGCTCGAGATTCGGAGGAGGCGCGAAGGTGGCCTTGCTCAGTTGCGCGCTCGGGTTCGTGCTATTGAGCGGGGGGCGCGCTTGTGGCCCCCGTTTAACAGGAATATATCCCTCTCTGGTGTTCGTGCTCCCGGTGGCCAGGTCCTGGGTGCACCCGACGAGCGCTCATCAGAGCTTACCGCGTTCTGGAGGCCTGTATTCGGAAGAAGTATGGGGATGCTGCCGCCGCCGCCCCCTATCTTCATCGTCTCCTTCCACGTGCTGGCCAGCTTCATCCCCCCCCCCCATCGAAAGCGTTGCTTCGGAGGGCGATGCGTCTCGCTCGCCACTCTGCTGGCCCTGATGCCCTGCCGCATGCTGCCAGGTCCGCCTCTCGCTGGGGAGTTGATATATTATGGGGTGCTCTGGAACTGGTCTTGTCCGGGCATGGGCTGTTCGCGAGCGCGAGCGACGCCATTCGGATCCCCCCCCCCCAAGAATGTGACAGACTTCGAGCTCCGGGACCAGGAGTGCATTCGTTCTCCTGAGAAGGTTCGGGTTCTTGGCTTACGCAATTGGGACGTGAAATTGATCTCGTCAGCTGTCAACCAGGCCATCCGCCCCGCTCTCCAGGCCCTGGCCCCGCCTGTCCAGAGAGGGTTCGTTCCTGGGCGAAGTTTTGGTTACAACCTATTGGAGCTCGATGTATCGAGCCGCTCCTTCTCGGTCACGCCCCCTGGATCCAGCGATAGTCCCGTCTTGTACTCCCTGCACTTCTGCCAGGCCTTCCCGTCGTTGTACCAGGACTTCTTCCTTCTCGCTCTCAAGACCATGGCTCTCCCCGACGCTTTCGTTCGCTCCGTGTCCTTCCTCTACTCGTCGGTCCAGGGCGTCGTCTTCCACCTAGGCGCCCTCCGGCGCATCTTCTGGACCCAGAGTGGAATCATTCAGGACTGCGCTCTCTCGGGGGCCCTCTTTGCCCTCAGCACTTCGGCGTTTCTGATTGATCTAGCGGGGCGGGTTGAAAATGCGGGCCTCGGCCTCGCGCGGGCCTGTGCCGACGACATTGGGGGCGCGTTCTCGGCCGTCCAGCACTTGCAGCTTGTCTATAATGTCATGGAGTCGGCCTCGACGATGGCCAACCTCGCGCCGAAGGTGGCGAAATGCAAGGTGGTCCCACTCCCCGCCAGGTTCTCCCAGGACCTCTTGGACCGCGTTTCTTCCACCCTTTCGTCAGTTGTGCCTGAGTGGGGGGGCTTTCAGATTGCGCCGATGCTTCTGCACCTCGGCCTCTGGCTTGGCCCCGGCGCCCTCCCGCGCGCACGCGCTGGGCCGACCCCGTGCCAAGCTCAGAGCGCGGGCTCGAGCTATCGGGCGGGGAACCACCCCCGCAAGCCTGTCCGCCATCCCCAGCAACGCTCGCGCCGCCACAACCCTCTCATACGTCGCCCAGTTCTGCTTGCCGACCCAAGCCGACCTTCAACTCGAACTTGCGACGCTGGCCCAGACCTTCCGCATCCCGCTGGGGACCTTCTCGCTCGACCCGTGGGTGCAGCTCGACGCCCGGGGCGGCCCGCGCTGCGCGCGCTGGGGGCACCTTGCTCTGGCGACCATTGCGAGAGCAGTGGTCTGGTCCGCGCTGGCCTGAGCTGCCCCAGAGCCTCGGAGATCACGCCAATGGCCATCCACTGTGGGCGACGCTGGACATGCTCGCGTCGCTCAAGCCCTACCCTTCCTTCTGGAGGCCCACCTCGTTCGCGGAGAACTTCGAGGCGGCGGCTGCTGCTCGGGCCCCTGGATCTCAGCTTGCCCCTCTCGCCCCCCTGGCGCTCGCGGCCGCCCGCGACGCCCTTGCGGCCGCTGGCCCTGCTCGGCCCAGGCCGCAGCGGGCGGCGCACCTGGCCGCGCGAGCTCTGGCGGCGCGCTCGTCGCCTCTCACGTCCATCGCCCGCCTGCGCCTTCGCAAGTTAACGGGGGCGCCCCTGCAGCTGCTGCTCTCGGTGGACTGGGATGCGCGCCAGGCGGTGCTTCGCCGCTGCCCGTG